CTTCTGTTTCAATATTTTATAAGCTACAGCCAAATCACCATGTTGGAATAATTTTAAATCACTACGGCTACAAAACTACAGAGAATATATTACGGAGGCAGCTTATCAGTGAAGAGGGAGCAGTGAAGGAGAGCAGTGGGGCTCCTCAGAGATCAGAGGCTGCTCACTCAGACACTCAGAGGAGTCTAATTCTGTCATTACAAAATAGTTTAGAAAAACCAATGAACTACAGCTTTAAATCAAAGCAAATCAAAATCAAACGTTATTTGTGTAGCTCATTTCAGCAGCAAGGCATTTCAAAGTGCTTTACATCATAACAAACACAAAAATAAAGTCATGCAACATGGAATCAACAATTAAAACATTATATTAAGTCAAGTGCCATCATTAAATTCACAATTGATTATGTTTCAAAAGCAACTCCAAACAGGTGGGTTTTTAATCGAGATTTATAGGAAGTCAGTGTTTCAGCTGTTTTACAGTTTTCTGAACGTTTGTTCCAGATTTGCGGTGCATATAAGTTGAATTCTGCTTCTCCTCGTGTGGTTCTGGTTCTGGAGATGCAAAGCAGACCAGAACCAGAAGACCTGATCACAGGACCTGCCACATGAGAAGAGACTCAGTGTAATAAAAAAATATTAAGATTGCATTTGAATGTTAAGTTCTGAAAAGTGTGAAAAATAATAAATAGCTACTTTGAATCCATTTTGGAAAAACTGAATCAGGGTTTTAATGACTTGGAGAAAGAAAGTTGTCATCAGCACAATATCAATTTCAGTTTTCTTACACAAGCATGCATTCATTTTGTGAATGTTGCCACAACCCCCAAAAACCACAGGAGACTCTTTAAAAACTGTCCCTGAGTTAAAAACAGTATGCACTCTTACCAAATCTAAATGCCTGAAGAATTATGATGCTCTATTTTAGCTTAGTCAGGACCTGCAGAATGGTCAAAATAATTATCTGTTGATTTTTCTTTTAATATAAAAACATATGTGAATATGCTAATAGCTGGGTTTCCCCCAGAAAACTTGCTAAGCCTGGCACTTGGGGCGCTCAGCAGTCATTCATCCAGCAGCCAGTCATGTTTTTGAGTTAAAATATGTTTAAAGTTGACAGGAAATTTGAAAATATCACTTGATAACATTGTATTATTAGAAGATTACTATCTAAAAACCAACTATAAAGTCTTAAAATGCAAAAATAAAAAAAAACATAAGTAAATAAGCAATGTTAAGCCTGGTGGCCCGCCAGGCTTATAATACACTGGGGGAAACCCTCAATAGGCACGCAAATTATTTAAAACTAAAATGATTTAACAAACATTTTCACATTATTCGTGAACAATTAATTTAATAACAGATATGTACATGTTTAGAAAAATAAAGTTGATTGATCTACTAAAAGTTTCCTGTGGTGTCCCACAAGGTTTTGTTCTGGTCCCAAAACATGAGTGATGCATGTGGAGTACCTGTTGCTCTAAAATGTCCCTATTTGCTGAACACATATTATATTGTTTGGGTGAAAGTCTAAAACAGCTTCTGTGTGGAGCAGAAGGAGAACTGATCATTTCAAAGAAATTATTTGAATAAATAAAGCTTAATTATAGAAAACACAATTTCTAATAATTAGTAATGGTTAGACAAAAATGGTATTATCATGATTAATTAATTAAAATTTAAACCAATTTGCCAGCTTTATTCACGCAGGACAAGATCTGCTTCAACATTAACTTGCATTTCAGACATATGGAGTGTTCAAGCTAAAATAACAAATAGTTTATTTTGTTGCGTTTGCAATTAGAGCTTCATATATCAAAGTCAAAGGTCCACTGAAAACAGACCATATAATAAATAAACCCGGAATCCTTGAGCATAAAAACACGAAGCACATTTTGACAGCAGAAAAAGATTAATGCAGTCGTAAACCATAAGTCTTCATACATTGTGATGCGAGTCTGTGGGACATTTCAGATATGTTTGCATGCATCAATGCCAATCATCAATGCAACACATTTGCTCAGTAAATATGCTGGCAGACTGCGCGCCTCTTTCTCCAACAAGAACCAATAGCTGGTGTAGATGCTAAGAGAAATTACAGAGGGAGCAATGAGAACGGCTTAATGCATCAAAGATTTAAAAGGCCACCAAAGCCAGGAAGGCTTGCCACCTGCCTTAATTGAATCTACATCAAGGGGAACAGTGAGTTCAGAATATGTCATGAATGCTGGAGAGTGAACAAAGAACAGAACAAGATTCAGAAGTTCACTACTTAACAGATAATCAGAAGTACTGAAAGAATTATGTTGCAGGTTCTAAAAATTTTAACATTTTTCATTCCGCTGGAACAGGCAAAGGATTTAGAAGGTAGAAACAATTAAATATCAGATGAATTAATTCAAACAGATCTCCTACTTTGATTCAGTTTTCCAACTGGTAACCTCCAGGCTCTAGGGTGTAAACTGGATTAGGAAATTTTATTTAGCTCTAGAAATGCTGTTCTACCGCAATGTTTTCAAGATGAAGGGATAATTAGAGCAACCATCTTCCCACCCACAGTTGCACAACTTCTGTTATTCAAATATCAGCTGAATTTAAGTGTGCGAGCAACATCAAAAAATCTTCAAAAGCAACCATTCCAGCACTGCTGCATGTATCTTTGATTTAAGGCATATAAAAAAACAAAAGTCTAAAAGAGGCCAAAATAAATTTCTATTTAAATGTTGCCTTTTTCATTGCTGTGCTTCAAATAACAGAAAAAATTACTTTGCATAGAAACAAATTGAGGTAGGAACATTTTATATGGCATTATTCAGCTTTATGGTCGACTAAAATGTGAACTAAAAAGGTCAATGTTTCAGACATCAAATCATCCATTCATTTAATCACTGCTCTTAACACTGAAATCTGTCCTATAGTGATTTTGTTGAAATGGCTGCATGTAGTTTCTCACTGCACTTAAACCTTTTTTATTGAGCCTATATTAAGTTTAAATAGCTTCTACAGCACTGAAGTTGGCCGTCTGAGGTTTTCATGACATAACCTGCATGTCATAACTCTCTGTCAGGTTGGACCGTTAAGAAGCATGCTTAGGGTTGCTGCTTTGTAGAGTGGTAAAACTACTTACCAGAGCACTGAGGGTACACCATCACACTGTAAAAAAGAACACTTTCCATTCTTCTCGTGTTGTTTTTCAAACTTGTTTTGTCTTGTTTCTAGAAACAAACTGATGTAAGTCTCTTTCAGCAGCCAGCATTTAAAGAGATGCAGCTTTAAAACGCAGCCAAAAAGGGTCTGTCACACAAACCAGACAGACATAGACACTTATCCTCAGCAGAGGAAATCAGCTCTTAATGACGATGCACAGTGAGTGACTTTTTTATTTGACGTGTAGGTAGATGCTGTTATCTTTGGAAACTTTTCTGTTGAATCTTTATTTCAAGGAAATCAAAACACTAAAACCCTATGATGTTCAATCATGTGTTGCAAGAGCAGAAACTTTAGACACAACTAACCATTAGAAATAAGGTAGAAAGACACAGAAGGTCATGTTGATAGATATTGACAGACTTCACTCAATTTATGTCAACGTTTGTTGCAGCATCTCAGTCACTAAGATGACTGAGAATAGACATAAAGGACGAGAACTATCCATCCAGACGGCCAAATGTGTTATTGGCAAAACAGTGGCTCAATGCACAGCACATGAAATATAATAGTGTACCAGAAAATGGATCAAACTTGTTGTTTGTGTCCATTGTGATATTCCACATACTCACATTGCAATGATAGTTGTGATTTTTTTTAACAGAATGCCAAACAATAAGCAAATTGTACAGCAGCTACTTAAAAAATGCAGTTTTGAGTCCATCAGAAAATAAGAAGATTACAGGATTATTTCCATTTAAGCATTTAAATAGAACAGTATAGATTATCAAATATCAATATCACAACCTAAAATGTGCCATTTACACATGGTTAGCATTTTCAAATCGTGCCTCATTAGTTTGCAAGCTCTCTGACTTTCAGAAGCAATGATTAACAAAAAGTCCAGATCCTAACAAACCAAGATCTTGATGCGTAGTGGCAATACTGTAATGATAGAAGCAAAACAGCAATGAGGGAAATGTGGGCTAAATACCACCAATTTCATCATCACAACAGCCCTTCTCAGATTTGTATTAAACTTGAGAAACGTATGAGATTGCAAGACGCCAGCTTATTTATAAACAAAACATAGACAGAATGTTGCAGAGTAAGAACTGGGACATGTTTTTATTTTAGCATTTGACCAGCTGATCACCAATCAGACTCGGGGAAGAGGGCTTGCTCGATATGATTGGCGCTTCTCGTATTATTTTGAACTTACAGTAGCTTTTAGGGTTAGCTTTTAATTCCAAATCATAAAGTTTGAAGCAAAAATAATAATAATATAGCTTAAAGTAGCAAAATCATAGATAACACTAGGAATTAGATTAAACTTCAGGTGTTCGTCCCGACACTGCTCCTCCGTTGAAGATCTGATGTTTGAAACCAAACAAAAACAAACATCCAGTGGATGAGCATCTTAAAAAGTCAACTATTTGTGCAGCGCCAAACATTTCAAACAGCGATCCAGCCACCCGGAGCCCCACAGCATCAGGGGAAATACTGTAGTTGTTGCAGACGGAGCCATGTGTAACAGTACAGTGGCGTAGCGGCAGAATGAAGGAGGAGATGTAAGAGCCGCTCTGCTAATCTCAGACCGCGCCGCGGAAGCGGAGCTTTTCTCCGGCTTAACTACAGGTTGATAAACCGTTTGTTTACCCACGAAGGGCGACAAAGTGAGCTATCCGAAACTGTTTCCAAAAAGCCGGACATGCCTCCCTCTTCCAGCCTGCCTTCCTCTGGAGAGAAAGGAGGGGGGGACCCACAGCTTCTTCCCTCAGTTATAACCAGTCCGGAGCTCACCCCTTGAAAAAAAAAAACAAACTGGCAGCATGTTTGAATTTCTGCACTCACCTCAGTCCGGGTTAAGATGTTCACACTGGACGGGCCGAAAGGACGGCGGTGTCCAACAGGGTTAAACTTGTCCCGTTAGAGAAGACACGGCATTGCTGGCAAAAAAAAAAAAAAAAAAAAAAAAAAAAAAAAAAGAAAGAAGCTCAGAGTGTGTATGCGTGTGTGCGTGTGTGTGTGTGTGTCTGCAGGGTCGCTGCCTCTCCTCGTTTCAAGTCACTCCTAGGGGGCGGGACTGAGAGGGAGGAGGAGACTGAGGAGCGGCTGCAGCTCCAGAGACGCGCAGGGACGCACCTAGAGGGGCCACACGCCCCTCAGAGAGACCCAGAAAGAAAAAACTCTCACAATCTTTTCTGTAATTACTTCTTTGTGTTTAGGTTTGAAAATAAAACTATAATAATTACAAAAACGCATCTATACTGACAGGATGCAATTATAAAAAAATAGTTAGGGTCAGAGTAATTACATTTTCAGCGAAACAAAACTATTGATGTGTTTGAAGCTATATCACATTTACGTCAGAAGTTGATTTTATATGCACTCTTACAAGTATGTGTCGTAAAATAAGCTTCTTTCCACCACAGCGTTCTGTTGTGGATGTGAAGAGCGGCCACACAAGATCTTAAAGTCACCATTTGAAAAACTCTCAGCCTTTCCAAGTGAATAGTTTGACTTCAGGGAGGTTGTTCCAGTTGACTTGTTGGAGTCAGAAGTCAGATTTCCCAAATTCCTACTACAAATTGAATATAGCTGACTGACCACTGCTTTCACAGCAGTGTCTAGAGAGATGGGTGTGTGTTTACTCTGAAAGTCAAAGTCAGGGGGAGTTTGTGAAATTCACAGATATTTAATGAACAAAGCCTGAAAAATGTGACCCAAATGAGTATTATCTACATGCTGCTGTGCCTTCTTTCTTGCAAATCTTAAATTGGAGTGATTTTTATTTGTGCCTTGTAAAATAAGCCATATGAATCCATAAAATATTACTATGACTGCAGGAGTTACTCCATCTCTTACCACAGAAGGCTGTCAAAAAATACATGGATGATTTTATCTGTTTTGCAGTTAAAGTTATCAGACTGTAGATGAGAAGGGTATGGCTGCATATAAAGTTTAAAAAAACAGAAATGATGATGATCTGCTTTAATGTAAAATTTGACAACAATTTTATAAACAAAAAAAAAACAACAGAAAACTGATACCTTAGAGAGCCTAAGACAGTTTAGAAATGTCTGGATTATGGAATTTCCTCAAATATAACAACTCAAACCAAACACTTTTCAAAACAGCTGTATATCCATCAAGATAGGAAACAGTGTGGCATCATATAGTTTAATAACAATAAATTTGGGGACTGGGGGATGCTGGAATGTTGTCATTTGGAAGGTCTTCAAGGTGTTTTTCCAACTACTAACTTATCTGACTACTAACCCTCAGATGAACTCCTCCCTGGTATGCCACAGCTAGCAGGATGCAACTGTTATGATTGTTGGGGAATCAAACTGCTTTCAGTTTGATGTGCCGTTATAAAGTTTGCAATTCTGCTGCTTTTATTTTCTTCTTCTTAAAGACAGTTCAACATCAAATCAAATATGGCAATTAAATGCATCAAAAATGGTTGTTATAAAAGAAAAGAGGGCAATTTTTAGTATTAGAAAATTTTCTCCCACTTTTAGAGCTGTCCTTTTACTTATATATGTGTTTTTCTTTATAAGTGCTTTATTTTAAACAGATTTCCCCCCATTTACACTCTCTTACTGGTAATACACCAAACCCTCATCAGTCGAAACTAAAGCCAGGGATCACATATAAAATCATATATTGCTCAGCTGTGTTTTTTTATTTAAAGATAATGTTTTGGGGGGATAGTAAATGTACTTATTTTATTGTAATTTTACAAAGTAGGCAGAGAAAATCACAGATATGGTGCAAAAACTAGTTTTATTTCCTTTCATTTCTGCCGTAAATTTCTTACAGTAAGTCTATCTGATAATACTCCAGGGCTTAACAGTTGAGACCTGCCTTCTGCGAAGAGGAAGTTTTCATTGGAAAGAATGATCTTTGATCTACAAAGAATAAAATTTTTATACTCTCTGAGGCGGCATAATTGCCCTCTTCCTTCCTTTCTCTCTTGATTATTAAACATTTAGTGATTTCGTGCAGCTCTGTAGAGACGAATATATCAGAAGTGTCTGTCTGAGGACTAAATGAAGGTCCTAAAAAGACTTTGAAGAATGACTCCACACTGTCAGATATATCTATGAATCTCAGTATCAGAAAATTAAACATGAGCATTCAGCAAACAGAAAAGTTCCCCCATCCTTCACTGTGTGAGTTAAAGGGTATGTTGGTCAGCTGTAACAGTTGATGAAGTAACACAATTGTTCATATGTGTTCACCATCTCCTCCTAAACCCAATCCCCAAGGTCCCAGAGCAGTGGGAAGTGGTCTGCGGGTTCAAGACTTTTATCCCTACATATTTTATGGATTTGCACTTGGCCCACTTCTCTCCAGGAGCAGGAAATATTTGGTTAATGTCAGCATAAAGATTTGAAGTAGAAGATATTTGAGATTTTTTTATTATTATTATTTATTAATGCTATGGCATATAACTGCTTTGTTTTGCTCAAACACCAGTGGACATCACCACACAGACATCAGAATGATTGGAGAAAAGTGGGAATAATGGGTATAAATACATAATGTTCCAATTTTTCAAACTCGTTGCATTCCTGGTGTTGCTTCTTCCTATTTTTTTTTTAAATCAATATCCTATGATTAACTATTCATTTCACTCCAGTGATCAGATTAATTTCTAGTAACTATTTTTTAAGAAATAATAATCTCTCCTTAAATCTTAAGGTTGGTTGATTCTGCTCCTGCTTATACATGCTTGATCAAAATCACCAGAAAGTTATGAAATGAGCTTTTAAACGGGAATATATTCAACACTCAGAGAAGACTGAGATGAAACGTTTCCACAATGCTGCGGAACTTCTGTTTCAAAGGCTTTTTATGAGAGATTGACTTTAATTAATCAATTTTAATTCTGTGATAACTTTAATTCTATGACACACATGTGTGAATGGCCCTATTGATTATTTATTATAGATTGACTGCAGTTCCAGTGGTGTAGTTTCATCTCAGCACATGTATGTACAAAGTAATTTTTTGCAGTGGTAAACTTGTTTAAACTATCCACCTGGTATTAGGCCGCGTTTACATCACGTTTTGTTTTGCTAAACTCTAAAACACTTTCCTCAAACTAATGTCTTAGTTTTAATGCTGTAATATAAATTAATTTGACTAAGCATTGGTATTTATGCATTGCACTGCTGAACATTTTGATGCCAACAATTTTTATTGATTTTTCTGCACAAAGTTTATTGGTGAGGAGTGTGATGGATGGATGGATGGCCCATAAAATATAGTACTGACATACATTAACAATTCTCTTTTCTTCCAAATGGGCATTGGTCCTGGTTTAGTGTAATATGTTGCTGATTTAAAATGTTAAGGCGTTATCATCTGTGGCATATGGCATGTCTTATATGAACAAATGGCCGCTTTTCTGCTTTCAGCCTCAACTTTTTTTCTTCTGTAATAAATATTTTGATCCAGGAATCAATATTCAGTCCATCTTTCCACATGCAGTTTTATAGACTACAGTATTGAAGTATTTTATTAACATGAGGTCTAGAATCAAAATTGTTTTTGCGTTTTTTTGCTGTTTGTTTAGTTTTAATATTTTAAGTCATGGTTTTATTAAATTATGTTCTACTTAGGGATTATTTTCTTTTCTACTTTCTGTGTGTTTATTTTTTTCAGATTTTCCGTTTTTTTTTCTTTAGCTCCCCATTCTTCACAGCTTTTCTCTGTCTATTAATTAGTCCCACCTAATTCCTACTTTGTGCATGGAGTCACAAAGTTTTTCTGTGAGCATGTTATTGTTAGATTTAACTGCACTGATGTTTTACTTTGCTCATTTCTCTCAAACCTGGTTAGTTAACACTTAACACACCAGGGAATGTATTTTCTGATGCTGCTAAAAATTCCACTTGAAAAATAAAATTATTGTGCACTTTTCAGCAGCCATCATTGAGTCCATCCCATCCTCATCCATTACTCTCTAGTCTACTGCTGCAAATGTCAAAGATAAAAGGATGCTCTGGTAGTTCAGCTGGTTCCAATCTGCCTTTCTTATGGGACCTTTAACTAAGACTTTATGACAGCAAAGAAAGACTGAGGTTGATCCCCCACTGAATGGGAAGAGCTGCTTGATCTTCTCCCAATTGCTGAGAGGCTGAGGCCCATCAGAATCAAAACTACACAGCCTGGGAGAAATCTAAGTTTTTTTGTTTGTTTGTTTTCAAGGATTTTTTTTTTGTTTGTTGTTGTTTTTTTGTTGTGTGTTTTTTTGCAATTTTTAACAGTGTATTTGACCGTCCTGGCAAAAATTTTACTTTTTTATATTCAGGCTATATTATATTGTATTATCATTTATAGCTTCATTCAAAAAATTATGAATGATATTTTTATTTCATTATGTGTAGAAATCTTGAATGCATATATATGTGTATTTACATTGATAATGCATTATGAAAATGTCGGCACTATAGCTTTGATGTTTTTCTGCACCATCCACCAAAAGCAAATCATATAGCTGCAAAACGTGACTTTGTATTTTGAACTTATTTATAAAGCTTGAAAAGGAAAATAGGAGAAGACAAGAAAAGAAAAGAAAAATAACAAAATTAATTTTCATTCTGAAAAAACAAACTAGGCAACCTCCTCAGATATGGGCAGAGTGAGCTTGATTGGATCAGGTGTAATTGATGACCAGAAGTCACTTCCATGTTTTACCAACCTTATTCTTATGGGTTTGTTTAGAATATGAAAGCATGTACAAAGATACTGTCAGTCAGTATATATCAGTCAGCCAGGTTGTGTAACCAAACATAAAAAAACTGATTTTAATTTGAAAATATAGGTAAAATGTTGTACATCATAATTCATTACAACCTTAAATGCAGGTTATACCAACAAAATTTTTGTGCCCAGTTCTGCACAACAATCAAAATAAACAACTAAGTTTATCATAATAAACATAAC